GCCACCAGCCCAGCTCAGAGGCAGAGGGGCAGAAGCAAAGGCTGGGGGTGAAGAGTGCAAGGACCAGGAGAAACCGTGATGAGGACTGAGTGTGATGAGCAGGAATAACCAACTGTGGTGACCAGGACTGTGACCACCAGGACTGACTGTGGTGACCAGGACTGACTGGGATTTGCTCCTGGCTGGCAGCAGAGGGCACAGCGGGCACAGAGGGCACAGAGGGCACAGAGGGCACAGCGGGCACAGAGGGCACGCCCAGCTCAGGGCACACCCCACACTCACCGCAGGCGTCACACTCCATGACCGTGTTCTTCAGGAACGTGATCTCCTTGATCTGCAGGGGAAAAAATCAATCAATCAATCAATCAATCAATCAAAAATAAATAAATAAATAAATAAATAAATAAATAAATACTACTACTTCTACTACTACTACTATTACCACTACTAGTAGTACTACTACTAGTAATAATAATAAATGAAACCTTTTTTGAAAGTTTTTCTCACCTTGAAGATTTCCCCACCCTGAAGGTTTTTTCAGCCAGAATTCTTTCCCACCTCAAAGGTTTTTCTCCACCTTGAAGTTTCCCCCAGCTTGAGAGTTTTTCCCAGTTATCTCCCAATGACAAACCAGCTCTGGGCTCTGCTCTGCAGCAATGATCTGCTCACTCTGCACAGGGAGCAGGGAATTCCCAGACCTCAGGAAATCAGCAATCAGGAATTTTCCACCCACCTGCTGCTTCAACAAATCCCGAACTTCCAGCAGCACCCGGTTGGTTTCCCTCATTTCTTGCAGCATTTCTGGCCCGACTTCTCCTCCTCCTAAAAAAACCCCAAAATTGTTGGGAAAATCCCAGAATATCCCAGGTTTATAATCCAGGCTGATTATAAACCTGGGAAAGTTTCTATTCATATATATTTATTGAATACATATATATTTATTGAATGTATTTATATGAAATACATTAATATATATGAATATATGAATATATGAATATATGAATATATGAGAGTGTATTTAGATATTTATATGAATATATCCATATGAAAATACAATCTATATGGAAATATAGTGTATATTCATATATTGTTGTATGAATGATAATGATATGAATAATATTTAATTATTACTCACATAATATTTTATATTGCGTTCATTGTAATAATGTGAATAATAATTATAGGAATAATATTTTAATTATTAT